ATTACGTTTCCCCACTTTTATCGTCCGGCAGGGATTAAAACACATTATGTACACAAATGAGGAAAAGTCGGACCAAGTTATTCCACGCCCTCTGTGACCATCTCCCTCGACTTCCTCCATTTCGTCGAGCAAAAATCTCGGGAAATATCTGCGTGGAAGAAGAAACGCCTCGAGATATGGTAAAATTAGACCGTGGACGATGTACGAAATTACCGTCCGTTATCAAGAGGATCCACCTACGTCGCAGCCCGTCTTTAATTTTCTCTGCTAACCTTTCACCCACGAGATTCTAAATTATCGACTCGACTTTTCCGTTGATCTGTCCGAAATAATCTATTTCGGATGTATTTCGTGGAAGGAAGGTTCGCGATGTGGAAAAGATCGCTGTACATGCTCCGTCGACGGGAAACGAGATCGTTTGAAATTCATAGAAGGCTGGCGTGACTTTTACGTTTAGAACGTGGCGAACCTGTCATTGCTGGGAAACCTACGCTTTGATAAATTTCCACTCGTTGAAATGGCCAGAAAGATTCGCTTTATTCGCTTCAGATTTCGCGGTCGAATTTCAGTTTTACGATCTCGACATTCCAAACTGTAATTTCCTATTTCCAAGCGTATTTCGAAGAAAGGCCAAGCGTAACTCGTAATCACGGCTAGGTGTTTTACCTTCCAAACTGCTGTTCCGCGAACGCATTAACACCTTGTACCTCGGACGCGTTAATCCACGTTACACCGTGTATTATAATCTATTTGAATAACAACCGCGTTTGCGTTTCACGCGTTACGACGAACGACTTGGAATAATCTTCTTTGCTTTCGAGATTAAGCCATTAGCATCAGTCACGCCATTATCGACATTCAGAATGTTAACCGTGGCGAGTCTCGAGAAACGGATCATGGGACAATCTCCGTTTTTCAGAAGCCTCTAGGGCTTCCATTATCCGATTGAATATCGATTTAACCGTTCTGCATCCTCGATCCAGCCAGTTAGTCTGTCTCCTATTACTCCGGTCGACGAGTTACCTTGTTAACAATCTTCCAGATAGCTACGTTTCCTCTTCGAGGAAGATGAGTAGGAGATAAGCGCGTCTTTTCAAGTTGAGACAGGCGGGGGGAGGCGACGTTTTCCGATAGAGACGGTCGAAATTAGAATTCATGGTCTGTCAAAAAGTTGGGCCATTACGCGGCGAAGTGGAAACTATTAGACGGAAAATACGAGTCTGCCCGATTACGCCTCCACGTCTGTCAGCTAGCGGACCGGATTTCACTACGACGGAAACTCCGTGGGAGATTTATTCCCGCTGAAATTCCCGCGGCGCTAACTCCAAACTTTTCGCTGTTTCGCGAGAAGAGGATAGATGGTTCCGGTTTTCGATGCCGCACGGTTATCTTAGCTGATTATCTAAACAGTGTCTCCTGCTGCTCGGTCCAACGACCATTCTTCAATTTCCAAATCGAATTCTCACGCGGAGATATACAGAGTGTTCCAGATAACGTGATCAATCGACTAGGTGGTGATTCCACGTGCTGAAATAAGTCGAGAACGTGGAATAAAATTTTGTTGTGCCGTGCTTGGTTTCAGAGAGAATCAACTTTGAAAATCTATCGAGTATACTTGAATTTGGCTAATTATCGGCTTGGTACGAGTAAATAATAGTCCGTAGGAGGTTATCCTACATGCGAAAATTAATTGAAAATTGATCTGTTTTCGCGTGACGTTTCACTTCCGAGAAAAAGGAAAGGAAAACTTTGTCATACGCGTGTATTGAGTCGATTCTTAATTAAATATCTTCGAACCTTATTTTCGTAAAAGCGAAGGCTTAAACAGAAAGATTTTCTTCCACATTTTTCACCTTATTTTCGCTTCTAGAATAGCCTTCTACCGATTATTTGTCCATATCTAGCGGATAATTTAGTCAAATTCGAATGTACTTGACAAATCTTCGAACTGGATTTTCTCGAAAACGAAGCCTCGGACAAAAAAACGTTATTCCACGTTTTCGACTCATTTTTGCGCGTACGGTACACCCTGTAACTGGTATTCGATGCGTTTGAAATCTGCGCTTCCTTAAAAGAGAAAAGATCACTGGTTCGATACGCTGTTTCTATATCGAAGGAATCCCCTCGACGTAAAGAAAAAATGGGAGCAACTTCGATTCCAGTAGTAAATATCGTCTTCGATAAAAAACAAAGCGATATTCGATTCTGCTCGACGACGTTTGTCTCCGTGAAAAGAAGAAAAAAGAGTCGCTCCACCCTGCTACGACTGAAATATCGGCAAACTCAATTTCAGGGCTCGTCAAACGTCCCTTACCTTCGGAGCGACCAAAAGAATCGTCTCTTCGGAAGGAACAGACTCTTTGTCGGGGGAGACAGCGCGACTCAAAAAGGTTTATCTTCGAACGAAGTAAACTCGTCGACGTCGTGAAACTTCTGTCATATCAGACGTAGTTGGAACCCTACTTCTCGCCCTACGAAGCGATTCACCTGCTGTAACGTCGAGAATTGGATCTTTCCCCGGTGGCATCGACACCGATAGCCAGGAAATGAAATCCTGGACGATCCTCGCAACGATTCGGCAGACATTTCAACGTAAATACAGTAAATACAGACGCGAAATAAACGATCGCGAGGCCAACGATACGTATCTGAGAATGATTCATCCGACGTGAGGAAGAGCGGTCGTGACTTTTGCCGGGACAAATTCACTCGAGCCACCCTAATTCCGTCCGTGAAACGTACGAGAGAGGCCGGAAAGCCCTCTTTAATTAAAGCCCGCCCCGTCAGCTACTATGGAGTCGACCGTTTAATTCGCAGGATTTTTTAAATAAACCGCATCGCGCGTAGAACGCCGGGATTACGAGGATTACGGTCGCGTCTATTTCGTTCTGGCTGAATCTTCGCCAGGCTTTCGAGTCGAGGGTATATTTAAAAGAGACTGTCTTTGATTCCGAGTGTCGTACAACCCTCTGTTTTGCATCTAGAATGCAACGTATTTGCAAGTATGGCGAATTTAAAGCTCTTTTTGCCACGGAGATTCGTCGAATGATACGTTGAAATTAATTTAACGAGATGTAGAGTGTGTTTCTAACGAGAAGAGAATGTTTCGTCTGTCCGATTTTTAAGACACAAAAAAAAAAAAAAAAATAAATAAAAGTTCCTTCGGAAAATTATCGTCTTTCTTATATTGAATTTTCACGCAAGAATCAGGCGCAAAACACGGAAGCAACGCGCTCTATAAACGTTTCTCGGATATTATTATTCGGATAAAGCGTAGATACTAACGTTTGCGGCCGCCGCACCATATTGGGTCAGGATGATACAAAGTTTCGAATCCGTACCACTGTTCCAGACGTCGCGCCGGAAACTCATCGCAAGTACGACGCAGTTTATGCTTCGAACGGTTATCCAAGATGTTCCGACGATGAATTCCCACTATTTGCATTTGTACGAGCCCCCAGCCGCGGAAACGAGAATCTATCAGCGAACGAGGACCAAGTTTCACGTTCTATAGGAAGTGGATTACACGAATTTCCGCTGGTAACGCGATCGGATCGTTCCATTCGGGTTCTGTCCTCGTTCCGAACCTTATTCTCGACCGATTGCACTTTTCACCGGGCTGATCTCGGTCTACCGCCTTTCAGTCGCGAAGTGACTTGAGGAGAATTTGCGGGAAACTTGTTGGAGAAAGACGTATAGACTTCCAGTAGAGAAAATCCGCGAACGCAGCGGATAAGACAACGAGGACGATGATGCAGCAGTGGTTGAATCGGTAACAGACAGACGTCGAATCACGTGCGGCGTACCACTCGGCAGGAGCTGCTGGAAATGGATGGTGGTAACGAGTGGAGGTTCTTCCGAATAGGGTCGCGTGATGCTTCGCTCATTGGTAAGTCGAACTCCTCTCCAACCAAGTTAGATGATGTTTGGAAAGCCTCGAACCGAAGAGGTGTCGTTCATAACGAGACCAATTGGAATTCCTCGTCCGAAAGGGAATTGGGTTTAAGAATAGGAAGCGTCTTGCTTAACGGGGAACAGGCGCGTGAATACCGAATTATCTCAGTAGAGAACTTTCGTAGTTGGAGCGTGAGTGTTCGGCAACTTAGGACGTGCAAGCGATTTCGAATCAAACACGACGATTGATCGTACCATATCGATCCTTCTCCAGCTCGAGAGATCTTTGTATCGGGCAAGAACCTAGGATCGACGATGTTGTCACTTTCTATCTCACGAATCGTTTTAGCCTTCGACGATGGAAAAGACAGCTACGATGTTGCACGATCCTTGGCCAAGGATCTCGTCGCAAATCCTGCAGGCTTGCTTTCCACGGAAAGACCAAAACGGGGCCGTGGTAGATCGTGGCCGTAAATACGGCGTATGTATCATCCCAGCCCGAAAATGGGAGTGAGACGGCCGAGAAAAGCCATTTGCCTCGAATGGGGACCATTTTGTCCGCGAAATCTTTATTGAATCCGATATTCCTTCGTGCTGGCTCGTTCGATATCCTTTTACGAGACGTTCGATCCCCTTGGAAATTACAGGAATTCGCCTTCCTGCTGCGTTCGTCTCTCGCCAACACGAACGAAACGATAACGAAGCTCGTTCCTTCTTCGCTCGAGATCGTGCCGGATTCGAACGATATCCTCGGTACCAAAATGGCTGGAGAAGTTCTTCTTTATTTCCTCGATTTGTTGCGTCCGGACCAAACTTTCACTCTCCAACGCAGTATGCCGCTGCCGCTCTGCACGTCGATAATCCCGGCGAATTGGATTAAACAAGTTTATCATCGGACATTTTACGGGGATTCTCTGCTTTATAGGGATCTTTTATAGGGATTCGCGAATAGCTTCTAACGAATGTACGGTACTCGGAGTGAATAGAGGATAGTAGTGGCTCCATCAGGGAGTTCCTATGTGTTAACATACGACACCCAAAACAAAGATGAAATATATCGAACTGGATGGAATAAAAGATAGAAAGAGACTTGTTAATAAACTTACTCAACGTGGCGTTGTTGGCACGTGACTGGTCGGTCTGCGATCTGAGCAATCGCAGCCGATTCAGCTTGCTTTGTTGTTGGTCCAGCCTGTGCCTCAATCTGGCGAGTTTGTCCTGCTGTGCTGGCTCCTGAAACAGTAAACACCGTTCGTTGAATACGGCGCTGAATGCAGCGGAATAACAGAGCGGATCCAAAGTGAATACTGACTAACGAATGGGACAGAGACGGACGCAGAGGTCGTAGAATATTTCATGCGGTTACCGAATAACAGAGAGAGCCCCGTTGTCTTCTCTATGGCATTACGCTTCGCTGCCAGCAGCTCTCTTTACCTTGCCTTTTTTATTAATATCGCTCGCGAAACGACCAAATCCGCCGAAACGAGCTGCCTCCGACGAGCTTAACCAGCGACGAATTCGGACCCTCCACCGATGAAACGATCACCCTCCTTCTACGTTACGATCGTCCAGAGAAAACGGACACCGAGTCTTCTACGGAAATCGCCTCTAAAATCCACGTGGAATTTAGCAGACGCGGTCGGACCAGAGTCCGGTAATCCACCAGAGAATCGTCCCACTAAAATTACCGTCAACCTTTTCGCGTAGAAAGTAAGATTCGCCTGGATGCTTGCTAGTACTAGAACGTTCTATGGCGCGTATTGTCAACCGTTAAAAAGTCCCCGAGCTTACGAGCAAAAGCAGCTCGCCCGTCAATGTTAAAGCGATACCGGATGGAGGGATCCGCGACCCACACTATCTTTGGTATCGAGCTCGTCTCGTCTCGTCCCAGGAATAGAGCCATCACGCCGAGGATTAAGGCTTTCAAGTCCTAGAAAATCCTGGCTGAGTCCTGTCGCCGTCTACCCGGTATTACTTCGAATCGTTCGTGAAGCTGGCGCGTTGCTAGTGACACGAGGCTCCATGTGTATCGTGGGATTTTTCGGCTCGATTTTATCGGGATGACTGATGAGCTCTTTGTATCAGAGGGTGGAAACGGGAGAAATGGGAGACAAGAAATCGTTGAAAGAGCTGCCAACTTCCGCCGTGCTTCTTTGGTACTGTGCAGAGTTGAAAGGAACGCTGGTCCGATCAGTTGCTAGACTGCGGGCTTTCAACTGCTTATGGAAGATTTGACAAAAATGGACAGAATGCGCGTAGTATTCGAAAATACAGGATGTTTCATAACACGTGGGGCCCGCATCAGGAGCGAACAGAGTATACGAAAATAATGAAAAGACTTCGTATGAACAGGTGTCCTATTTGGCCGTATTTCAAAGTTATAGCTACTTTTGCCTTACGAAAATCCGCGATAGCTTAGCCTCGTAGAACGTGCTCGAAATGGTTATCCTCGGTCTGTATTATTCGACATCCACCTGGAATTTTGGAGAGATTGCCAGATTCTTTGACGCGACGACTGAAAGCATACAAACCGAGGGTGGTCACTTCGAGCACTTTCTATGAAGATAAGCTGTCGCGGATTATGATAACACAGAAGTGGTCATAACTTGGAAAGAAGATCAGATAGGTCACACGTTCGTATGAATTCTTTACGTTACTTTTGTGTCTCCTGGCCATTGCTGAAGCGAATCCTCTTACGAAACGTCATGCATATAAATAGAACGTTCAAGGTACAGTAATTTAAATACGTAATATTAAATATTTGGTATCCAAGCGATGATTCAATTTTTAGTTGCGTTCATAAAAACGTAGATTTGCCTTGTAATACGTGTTTTTGGCAACAGCGTGTTATTGGCTGAGATAGTCGCATCGTTAATCGTAATTGTATACTTCAATCAGCGGAGCGAGCGGAATCCCCTTGCTGCTGTGCCATCCTGCTAGTCTTCTCTCTAGCTTTGATATTTTTCAAGACTTTTGCACGCGATCTAACAAAGTGTCAGGGCTCGTTGTTGAGAGTAACGGTTGGAAGATTAGACCGACGCCAGCTAACGACACGAAGTGGATGCGGAGCGCAGTAGAGGCTCTTAATCTCGTTAATATCGTAGAAGAAGGAGCTCGTTACACGGCCGTCGAGTGCTAAGCACACGAGACAAGGAACCGTCGCCCTCGACGAAGAATTCAGCGTGCTACGCGCTTAACCAACTCGCGAGAGGCTGCAAGGGAGTCGAGAGGACGCGGCTTGATTAAAATCGCGCGCTAAGCGGATCGAGTTCAATCGGTGATTTGAACGCCTCCATCATCCCTATAGCGGCCTCTTCGATACCGCTATTTCGCGCCATTGTTCCATCGACCAACGTTGACAGACCTTGTTCTATTGTATTTAAAATTATCGCGTGTCCGTTGTAGTTGTAAACTATCGATAGTTGCCGACGAATAATAACGACAAAAGGAGAACGCAGTTTATTCTACACAGCGTGATTCGCAATTGTGCTGCGATGAAAACGAATCGAGGAATCGTAGTATAGAAACCGAGTAACGTCTTCGTTACATGACGCGTCATTTCGCGACATAATCGCCGAGCTCTATCGATCTCTCGCGTTTCTTCGCTTTAAACGTCTGTAGTCGGATTCTTCGTACACAGGGTCAAGGCCATGGCTATCAATGCCACACTAACGGTAGGTACATCTACTAACTTCTACTCCATCTTGTCTTCTTCGTTCTCGAATCAACCGCGTCCGATTTCGATCCACGCGAAAGACTCTCGCACGATCGCGAATTCATCAACGACGAATCGCTGGCGTTCCCGGAGGAACACCTGGCCTTCGGATTTCTTTCACGCGAATTACCATCGAATCTCGCGAGAGGACAACCGGCTGTTTAGCTAGGCATTTTCGAGGAGACTGACAATGCTGGATGGATGTAATTGCTGGTTGCCCTTTGCTCGCTATCGCGCATTTCGAACGATAGAAACCTGCTAATTATTTACTCGACCAGAGCAGGTGTTCTTCGGTATTTTTCAGCCCCAGAAATTATTCCCTTCGAGCTACTTGAATAGCGACTCTCGTGACGCGTACGAACCGTTACGATACCTTGAATTAACTAGATGAAAGGGAAGGAAAAATACGGTGGCCATCGCAGAAGAATATACTGGCGTAATGCCTGACGACGTCAGCGAGGAATCCAGCAACGGTATGAAAATCCTTGTCATGGTGTGCGGAGGTGCCGTGACTTCCGATGACGCGTTCTGTCGCAGCAGGCATCTTCTGCACGCACAAATTGCACGCGCGTCGTTCTATGCGTCATTGGTGATGTAACAGATGATGTCAGCACGTCACTTACTCAGGATAAAGTATAGTATACAGAATGCACAATTTTTGATCCGAATACGTCTTTTCCGGGGTATTTTAGGTCGCTGAAGTCTAAAACGAACTTCCTTTCTCACGAAAATGAACGGTTCTGAAAATTCGCTCTTATAAATATTCGATGGACGAGAGTCTTAACCATTGAAACCCGAGTAAAACTGGAATATAAAAAATAACCCAAACCTAATCCATTACTCGCGATTCGAATGCGTAAAGAGCAAGCTATATGGTAATTCAAGAGTATCAAATTACATAAAAAGTATCCTCAAAATCCACGTATCAACGTCGCGTATCAACAGGTTGACCAAAATTTTTTGCGACTTATTTCCATGAAAAAATGGCCCGCATTTTCGGCTTTGGCGACCTCTAAAACCTCTAGAAAGTAGCTATACTATATTAGGAACCAATGCACGTGGCAATACGGTGTCCAAAAATATTCAAAACGCAGCGTCCTGTGCCCGCAAATCTGTCTATTCGCGTCGCGTTGAATTTCTATCGCTACGACGCACGCGTAGTCTGTCGTATCTTCATTATCGTCGCATTAGCTTCGATAAACATTAAGTTCAATCATAACGCGAGCACGTTGCACGTTTCTCATCCACGAAATCCACCTGAGCGTCGTAAAGCGCGCAGCATCGCAGCGAGATTCCACGCGAGAGCGGTTACAATAGCCGTGAGAGGTGGACGGCCGAGGACAAAACGCGTTTACCTCCTAATCGAGAATTACGAAGCTCCCTGGTGCTTGGCGCGGTGATTATGCTTTATTACGGTGCGCGTGATAGATCTTCCGGTGGCGAGTGGCGCATGAATCGCGCGGAATCGCGAGGAAACCGCTCGACGCTGGTGGGCAACGAGCTGCAGACGGCTCGATCGTCTTCGAGATGACGAGGCCGAACAGAATGGACAGTTATTTCGTCGATAATAGGCATAAATTGTTTGCCAGCCTATTATTACTTTGAATTATTCATGACGCGGATGCTTGGCTGGTCCACCGAAGAGTCCCTGGTCGTCGCGAGACCAGCGGGGACTAGCAGCAGCCGATGAAAGTCGCAGGATCATTCCAAGATTTTATATCACGGGAAACGAAGGTTCTTTACGATCCGTTTTATCGTCGTTCGCCAGCTGTAAACAGCTAAACATCGAATCCTGCCGAACGGGAAGAACAGTGACGTTGAACACGGTGTTCTTTTAGTTAGTTACTTTGGATCCGACTCGGCAGTACTTCCGCGACTACCTTTAAGGTAATTGGTTAACGTCGGACATAACCGAGAAAATTACCACTCTATTCTCTATATCTAAAGAACGTATTTATTTTGTCATTTTATAAATATTTCTAAGTAATAGGTTTTTCGAAAAGTTCGCAGCCAAATTCTAGCAAAACTCAAAGGTAATGTATTTCTATAGAATCGAGATCTTGTTTGGCCATGTTCGTTCGATATTTTTGTATCTTCCTAGGAGTTTTCGGTTTTGAAAACCTCATAAACTTTCGAAATGACCAAGTGATCCTTTTGTGATCCTTTTTGTTTCTTTTCTTTTTTTTTTTTTGTCTGGAGGATGCTTTGTTTTCCGAACGAACCGTAGTCGAGACGCTAAGGACGAATCCATCGTAATTTTAGTCGATAAAATTTCACGAATCTTCCAGACTATCGTCTCCCATCTGTTTTGTCTTTTACGAATTTTATATTTGAATTCAATCGCGCGTAGAAAAATGCCGAAGATAGGAGGATACAGAGACGAAAACGAAAAGACGGCGGTGTGTTTGAGCGGTGAGGTTGAGTCGCAACCGGAAGCCGGGCTCATCGACGAGCGGAAGGTGAACGCATCGGGAGCCGGCCAAGACCGAGGGAATATTACTGGAGCTTTGTCGAGCAATTTCCAGAACGATTTCCGTATTTAGGTTGGAAGAAGTGGTTCTCTCTCACCTGTGCGCCTCGAAGCACGGCTAGACGGGCCTCTCTCTGCTCCAGGAGGCGCCTTTGCTGGGCAATTTCCCGCTGTTGCCTGGCTGCCATGCTTTCAAGCTCGCTGAGCACCAGCACAGCACCACCCCCGCCCACTGGTAACTGAAACAGGATTAAGAGTACATGAGGAAAAGCGGTTACAAATATCTGCAGCAGAGAAGGTGAAACTAGTCCTGCATTTTCTTCTCTATACTGGGATTTTCCTCGGACAATTGTGGAAAACATCGAATTAACTTAAAATTTAGTTGTTCGTTTGTAAATGTTCCTCCGCAATGGTATCTCGTAATCAGAAAGTCAAGGGCCGATTTAGAAACCAGTGACTGAGATAGAAATCCATTGATTACGAGGCACTTTATTCTTTAACCACAGCTTGCAAGATTTCTCGCCTCTATAAATACAAATGACGCTGATACCAGATTCGCCAAATTTAACGTACCGCCTTTGGTTCGAAATTCATCTCGATTAAAGGCAACGATACTCGAGGTTGCACAATAAAATCTCGTTGGATGTCACGGCAGGCCGAACGGTCTAAATGTCAGGCTGCCATTTCGCAACGGCGAGTCAGAGTGCAACGAAGAGGAGGTAGAAAGAGAGGAAGAAGAACCCGTGGAGGAAGACGAGGACGAAGAGAAAGACGAACGAGAGGAGGAGAAACCGGGAGGATTACGCGATTTCGCGGGTAGCAGAAACAAATGGAAAAACGGAAGGGGGCCGGTGTCCGAGGAGAGGCGTAACGTGGCGGAGAAAAGAAAAAGCGAGACGAAGAGTGGTAGGTCCGGACTGGAGGAGCGTTCGCGGTTCTTTTTGCTTGACCTCGTGTACCATCTGGAAAGGACCGGCCGCCGATACCAAGTAGAATCCCAAGGTCGACCTGGCCCTTCGAATTCCACAGCGACAAGGACTCCCGGTAACCTTCGTACGTCAACGAAAAGGAGCTGAACGTGTCTGTCGCTGATTCTCGCGTATCGCGTTCGCTGCATTTCCCAGTGACGGATCTCGCGAGCTCTTCGACTCGCGATTTCTGTTTGCCCGTAAATCCGTACAATTATGACCGAATAAGCAAGAAAATGATTCAACGTGGAGATCTCTTCTTTTTTTAAAATATCGCGCAAGATAATTCGAACAACGAAAATCAGCCGGATAACTAAAATTCCATTTACCATCTGTACGAAGTCTCCGTCGCAGTTACGCCTTTGTTCCGTTTCGTTCGTTCAAGTAGCGAAGCCACAATGTCGCAATTAAACTTCTCCCAATTCTACAGAATCAGACTGCACGCGTACCGTTCCATTCGAATTTCAATTTCTCTCGATGCGTTCTCCTTAACGGACGATTCGCCGGTCAGTCGAATAAAAGTTCGTCGATGGATCGAGCGAATTGAAGCGAAAGTGGAGCGCGACGTCGGACTAACCCAGATTATATCCAACAGCGCGAGTTCCTTTTAACGCTGTTTAGTCGAAATCAATATCTTCTCTAATTCTCTGTTCATCATCTGCCAGCGTATTAATATCTATTACGTAGGTTGCTACGAGCATTAATTCCCGAAACGACCGATTTCGAACCTCCCGCACAGGCGCAGCTGTACGATTTATAATCCTTATTAAAGTCCTCTTTTATCGTGCTCCTTTATCGCATCATTGAACATCATCCGATTTCTCTACAGAGAATGTTGATCCAAGCGAAACGTTCGTGTTCATCTAACGCTGAAATATAATATCGATAAGCTTCACTCCCGATGGTCAAATTCATCGAGAATCGTTGTTAAATAAGGAAAGGCTGGAGGTTACGTGGGCTTTTGTTTCGCCACACGTTCATCGTGACATCATTAACGCCAGAGAAGCCGGTTATTAGCAGTGAAATTGATCGACGTCGTCGTACGATCGAGGCGTTGCTCGTCGTTCCACCTCGTGTTCCTCCCCTTTATTAGCTTAGTCCTTGGTGAAAATGGCGGATCGAGGCTTCTCCTTTCCTCTCTAGTTCAAGTTAGGAGTAATCTTTAATGCAAAGGATCACCGGCGAACGGAAAATCGAGGAAACTTCTCCGCTCGTTAACCGACAATTCAATTTTCTCGATGCCGCTGTCCCGACGATACCCTCCGTTAATCCGAATTCGATTACTTTGCACTTTGATAACCACGAAAGTTATCCGCCGCCCGTTCTTAGTCCTGCTTACTCTCCTTCAAACTCTATCACGATCGACTTGATCGTCGAATCTCCGAGATCCTGCCTCCGTATTGATATAAAACGAACGTTTGTCTTGCCTCTTTTTGAAAAACATCTAATTTACAGCGGTCTACTTATTCGCTGGAACCGCTATCGAGGAAGAAAAAAGATCGGAATGGAGGCTGCAGTGGGCAATAAATCGCGCGATAAGGTAGCAGGAGGGTGAATAAATATCAAACACCCCCGGTGCAGCTGCGAGCGAGGGATTTTCGCTTCGAAAGCCACAAATTTTTCCCGCGTTTCAACGGCACCGTCGGCTCGTAAATAGACAGAACCGCGGTCACTGATCCAGGGAAAAGAATTCCCTGCGAAGGAGCTGGCATGCCTCCGAGCGTGCCGCGTTTTTCGCGCGTGAAGCTCGAACAAGTGCGATTCGAAGGGACACGCGATGCGACTGCCCTGTTATTATCCTGTACGCTCGGAAAGGAACACCTCCGAGCTATCTCGTCGGCCGCATTGTGTTTCAAGTGTACAGAAATTTCGCTGAATTTGCTCATTTCGGCATCCTTTGCAGGCGATTTAACGACGCTGGCTCGCTGCGAGTGATTTTCTCCATGGACGAAAGAATATTTTATTATCTTCAGGCCGGCGAATACCTTTGTTAGACGAGGTTCGACTGAGTTTCGAACACGTGACCGGATGTTCTATAACTCTGCGAGTCATGTAGTTATTTAGAAGTAAAAGCGAGTCCTCGACTATTAATGGCTCGATCGCACGGCTCATCAGCCCCATTTTCCTTTCAGTTACGAACAACTTAATTTTCATTATCGCCATGAACGGGTAATTCGCGCTTTCTATTTTGCAAATGAAAACGAATCGATTCGATCACGGACATACGCGCTTTTCAAAAGCAAATTGTATCTTCACGCCTACCATCTGCGTTGTGCAAAATCAACGCGGTTGATAACCAAACAGCCGTGCGAACGGATCTTTCGAGACGAACGTTTTCCATCCGTCCAACTCTCGTTATCTTCGTTAACGCCGCTTTCCAACGGCGGATTTATCTTCGAAGGAGATTTTTTCTTTCGTCTCGTCTCGTTCCACGTTCGACGATTTTCCTTCGAAACGACCTTCTATCTGCCACGCTATCGAATCGTTCTAGGCGAAGAGATTTCGCTCTCGCTATCGCTCTACACGCCTCCGAACATGAAAATTCTATCTCTGTACAAACCGTGTGGATCCGCGTCGAAAATTTTCAAACTCGTTGCGCTTCGTGGCACATAGTTTCCCATTTTTCTCTTTCTTCTTGGTGTTTCGGTTAAAAAAATCGTATTTTTATACACCAGCGGGGCCTCGTTAATCTTTATACAGCGCTCGATTATTCTGGCCCAGCGGCGTTTCAAGGCTCGTTGTTCCAGCCTGTTCGCGAGATTCCACTTTGAGCAGATTGCGTCTTCTGCGATAGGACATTGAACAGGCAGCCTCGAAGCAAGCAAGGAAGACACTTACGTATAATTTTCGGAGACTTGCAGCACTCTAGGCGGTAGAAGCTCCGACCAATCCTTTCTCGATTCGAAACGAGACAGCCTCGTAGAGACACGTCCCACGGAATTCTCGATATCATTCGCCGTTTCTATCTGGCGTATTCCTCAAAGGCAGCTTTATGAACGACAAACAGGAAGTCGCGATCTTTGGATATTCCGTTTGCAAATAATATTCGGTCGAATTGCCTCTTTGCGAGAATGGATTCGCTCGATTCTCGCGTACGACGATTTCAAATGTTTCAACGGCGCTCGATATTACATTCCACGAAGGCACGTTGAACTGACAACGCTGTCATCTTGCAGCTAAAAATCAGCCCAATAAGAGCAATCACTGTAACTGCGTTCTGTCCGTAGATCGTCTTCTAAATTGTAGCAACGTTTTCTACTAAAAAAAATTAAATTTGCCCTTCCAAACGAAAGTCAGACGCGTCTAAATCGTAAGAAGCGAGGATTTTCTTTGTTTTATCAAAAATAGTAATTTGTATCGCCAGTTACGATATTGCAAGCTAAGGGCTTGGCTCTAACATACACTGTATCGCGTTAATTCGAGTTGAAGTTAATTTCACTGTATTACGCTGTAATTGAACGATGTATGCTGAAAATGTATGGATACTGTTATTTACGTTTGTAAATCTGCTTGCCGTATTCTCCTACTTCGTTTTTCGTACATTCTCGTTATGTGTCTTATTAATCGTTAATGGCCGCAAAGATTAGGTAGGTGCGCTCGTAAATAAGATAAATAGTGATAATACGTTCCACGGAGACAACGTTCTGCCTGTCTCTACCTTGTTGCTTCTCTAATCGTTTATTTATACGTTCGGTCGGCGAAATGTATTTGACTAGAATTAAATACGAAGATGAATAACCTGAGAATATAAGACTAACGTAAACATAATCTGTATATGTGAGAGAAATACGAATTACGAGATAAATAATACACGGAATGGGCTAACATTAGGATTAATTGATAGAAGAAATATGGCTCTAAGAAGATTCATCAACCGTGTTAAACGAAAGAGATCGCGTAGGGCGCCGAATTGTCGCTTTCTATCTGATACGATCACTGATAACAGAGCATGAGATAAGCGGATGCAAATATAGCGTCATATTCTCGTTATCCAAATTCTGGCGAACGGTCTGATTGCTTCTCGACTCAGGGAATCGGGGAATAAAGAGAATCAGCGACCAAAGGAGTGGTTTCAGCCCGGCGTGGGCATCCATCAAGGGTTTCCAGTAAAAACATGGCCAGCAACGAAACCGGTCGAGCATTACCAGAGCTAAGCCTCTTCAAATGAGCGGCATATTGACCTTTCTCATTTCGGCCGGAGGTCGGGGTTAAACGCGAGTCCGGCAATCACGGTCTAACGGGTGGCTCGGAAATTCTCCCGTCGCGAATCG